GACAGCAGAGGTCGACTGCGAATTACTAAACGGAGATATATTTCAGGAATGGCCAAGGCCCACGCAAAGCAGAGAAGGAAAGCAGAAGCCAGACGCAAAACGAAACACAAATGGGAAACGCTGATGAGCTATGAACAGAGGCACCGGGAAGGCGTAGCAAGGAGAGGACGGATGGTATGAGACTGACTGGCGTTGAAGATGAGTTGGTTGATGACGCGGCGGATAATGACGAGGCGGATAATGACGAGGGGGATGCCGACGAAGCGGATGAGGAGGAGGCGGATGATGATGAGGATAATCAGAGGCAGATGGCAATGAGACGGCTGGTGGTGATGGCGATAAAACGGACAATGAGGAGTCAGGTGGCAAGGAAGGTGATGGAGCTGATGAGGGTGAAGTTCGTAAGAAGTCAGCTGTGTGCTAGCATTTGTTATCTCGTCCCGATTATTTGAGTGTGTGTGGCGATTCCCATTTCTCTGTACTGTGTCATGCCCGTTATCTCCAGCAGTTGAAGGTCCTTGAAGCTGTTTGTATTCGTATGCACAAGCCTGATCTGTGTAAGCAAATTTTCATGTTGCGTGGTGATGTCTGCTGCATTCATACTTTTCATACATGAAGCTAATTTTAAACACACGGCGAGGAGACAATAATTTGATAACCGCAATCAATAAAACTAGCTGAACCGACATTTGTGTGTACTTTATTCATGCAATGTAAAAACGGTGGAGACGATGTGCAATATAACGATGAAAATATGAAGAAATGGTGTAGGGAAAAAAATGGATTCAAACAAGTTTTCATACAACACTCTTTAGACATCGTCGTTGTACTAAAGGACACTGAAACAAAAATTGAACTATTATAGAAAATCTAAGTTGGAGAAATAACACCAAGAGCAACAGCAGTGAAATTTACAAGTGTGAATTTTAAAAATCAAAGCGAGAAATGAACAAAGGAGTGCGGCCAGCCTTCGCCGGTAATGTTCTAGGTGTAATGTACTGCTGTTATGTGTTATCACGTTGTCTTTCCTTCCTTTCTCCTTTGTTCATTTCTCGCTTTGATTGTTAAAATTCACACTTGTAAATTTCACTGCTGAAGAGAGGATTATGGTCACCGATTTCACACCAGGTAAGGCGCTTACTCAACGCGGACACTAAAACCGCTTTGTGGGGTGATGGACCAAAGCCTTATATTTCGGATGCATGAGGAATTAGAGTGATACCTATGTGCCCCACAAATACACCCGAAAAAACCACGTACAGGCAGTGTTGTCATTTTATGAGAAGAGACAATTGAGCATGCTCTAATTCGTCATGACTGGTTTCAGTACTTTTCAAACACCACTCTGAGTGAGCATCTACCAATCCTTTATCAATGTTACAGGGGTATTTGAGTTTAGGGGACAGAGGTGGAATATTTCACCAACTGAAGTACTAGTTTTTTTCTGAATTTGTGGAGTACTAGGTCGCATCGTGTAGATATGTCAGTATACGTGCATGATTGTGGTGAAATTCTGAGCATCAAATTATTATGGGCATCAAAGCACCGGTGCTGGCCCATTCAATAATAGGTCTCCTGCTCTCTGACTTTTTTCTTGCATTGCACGACTATCAAATTCGTCGAATGAAATGAAGGAGCAAATTTGTTGCTGACTGCATCAGTTCTGTTTTCCTCTGCTGTTCTTCTTTCAGTGTGGTGACTTCTGATCCATGAGCCAATTGCATGAAGTCAGTAGTTTGCAGTATGTGCAGTATGCGGCTATCTCTCTGTCAATGTACCTGTGACAGCTGAAGCCCAGATCACGGTTGCAGTTTGCTGGCTATGGCCAGCAGCAGTCTAAAGTTGCACCTTTCCTTCAACGCACAGCAATGCTGAATATGTCATGGACAGACCTCAATAAACTGCCTATTTGAAGAAGCAGCGCAATTCTTGTCTGCCAATAAACAGCAGGCTGGCCAGCTATAATAATTATAACAGTTTGGAGGTCGGAAACACTGAAGACGCGATCCCGTTTATATATTGCGCCAACTGCAATGAAGAAGGCCTCTTTGATTTATTACCATTTCGTGTGGATATCTATGGTGTTGTGCTCCAAGTCGTGCGGACCATAAAAGGTATTAGACATGAAGTAGTGAAGGTACTGCGATTGGCACTGACGACAGCAAACCAACAGTGGATATCAACCACACCCCCAGCATCATTCTGCACACCAGGAGAATCCAATACAGTCAACTTCGCTAATAACGGCTGCGGACATAACGAAAATTCGCAAATAACGACAGAATTTCCATGCCCAGAGCAAAGTCCCATCCTACTGTAATACATATAATGAGACTTCGGGTATAACCACACTTATGGAATAAGGACACCTTTTTGATGCCTCGCCGAGTGTCGTCATAAGCGAAGTTGACTGTACATATAGCTGCCAACTCTGATGGTATAGACCCGATAACTTCCATCTTTCTTGTTTTGTTACTCTACGATTGGTATACAGTCATGTACTAGTGTAATCTCTGTCCATATGCGTAATGCACTGTATTTGTTTCTGGTGACTGGAGGTAGTTTATCATAGCACTGTTTTTTGTTTTGATTTTGTTGAAGATGAGCATTATCATGTTAACGTTACCGGTGTCGCGGGTCATTCCACAGTCCCCAAAGGTGACGTTCTCGGCAACGGACCGACCCATTAGGCAACTGATTGATGATAAATTTGCTGCCATTCAGGATTGGTATCACGGTGCGCCACAATGGCATATGGTGCAAAAAATCTGTCTTAGTGCAAGAACAAGGTGCGGTTGGTTGCCTTCCTCGCTGCTGAATGAGCAAGCGATAAGTTTGCAAGTCGCTTGATGCCTGGAAAGAGTGTATTTGTGACCATCGACACGTCTTGCATCAAGATCGCGTAAGGCCAAGACGCCACTGCACTGCAGTGGAGCCCTTGTCTAGACCTCACGTCTTTCTTCAGCTCTTTCAGTCTCTGTTCATGTGTGCTTTATATGCTTACTCTTTGGTTTTGGATATCTTGACGGACATTGTACATCATATCAGTCATGTTCATTATGTAGGATTTGACTCCAATCCTTTCTTGTTGTCCTAATTATCAACCTAGGCGGCATGCCATGCATTTTGTGTAATACAAATCAATGATTATGTAGCATAGTACACGTACATGTGCATGTATACAGAAGAATGGTTTCTTCCCTCTTTCCTATTTGCACTGCACCTTTCTGTATGTTTGAAAGGCATTTTGTCCGAACCCGGTGGTATAGATAATTTAAAAAAACATTCTAAATTGTCTCCAATGTAACAGTTACTATGCTGTTACTATGCCGTTGCTATGGTTACAGATGTGAAACAATTTCTTCCGTATTTAATGCCCTTGCATCCTGAATCTAAAGGAAATAATGTGATTTATAGGGAGCACTAGGTGTCATGGTCAGGTTTTAGGTGTCCATTTGTTGTGTGCTCGAAGTGGGAACGGGCGTGAATATTTATGGGGCCTGGCTCCTGGACTACCGTATTTCCCCATTAGTAAGTTCTCCCCAATGACTTAGTACCCCCTATAAAAAATACACTTTTCACTGCCGAGGTTATCACCCCGAAAGACAGTTCCCCCCGAAAGATAGTAAGTTCGTACCCGTCCTACATGTACAGACACCGTACAGTACATACATCATATCAAGAGTACATGTGTACTCTTGATCATATGCACGGACACTAGAGTTGCGCAGGCTTCCCACTGCGTGTCATTTACTCCCGATAAAAAAGTACTCCCCGAAAGATAGTACCACCCCCGAAAGTTAGTACTCATGTGGTTGCTAAGTTTGAAAGTTAGTACGTACAAACCTACGGGGAAATACGGTATTAGACTCTCTGTCAGTCAACTATGGTAGAAATACAAGTTATCATGTCCAGGGTTTCTCCCTCACTCTCCTGCAATGCTACACTCCTACATACTGCGGATGCATTTGCTGTGTTTTCACTTCAGTCACGAGGTCGGAGAAAGCCACGTTTGCCAACACGCTGTATAACGTTGCATGCATGGCTTGCCAAAGTTGCATACAAACGTTGTGGCCTCATGGCTCTTGCATTACATTTCTAGAATTACAGTGGAACTCACTTAGACCACACCCGGGTAAGACGTGCAAGCTCATATACAAATGTGTTTGGGAAACGACGTACCATGATAGGATTTACAACTAGTATTATGAAGGACTTTTCAGCAGGTGCAGACAGAGTGTACTAAGTACTTTTTGGTGTTTTTCAAACACCGTTCCACTTGACAGGTTTGCACGACAGGTATTTTGGCATGTTGACAGTGCTGAGGAGGCTGTTTGCAGTGAAGGAAGCCTGGTTTGGTGTCAGTAGACACATACATTTTGCAGGGTCTAGGAAGAGTCAACTTTGGATAAGAAGTACTTCAGATTCTAGAGACGTTTTGCACAACTGTTTGCTCGAAAATCACGAAAAGCGAAACTTTGTGTGAGTGTTTGCGTGTTCGCAGCGCCGGATTGCGCCACAGGCCAACATGGTTATCTGTGGGTCTCCGGTTATCGACAACATATGCAAAAAGCTCTTGTCTCAGGGTGCAGCCACTCGCAGCAAATAAATTCTCAGTCGGATGAAGCTCTGTAGATCTACCGAATGTGACTTCTCAAACAAGCACGAGTGCACTCGTACTTTTCTTGGAGCGAAAATCATCGAAAACACAAACTTCGAGCGAACATTCGCACAAATATTCGCAAGCCCAGACGCGAAGATCCATGCGAGCGTTTGGTCTGCAAAACCTCGGTACTAAGTTCGTTTATCCAGTCCAGAGGCAGTACCTCTAATCAGAGTTCCACTGCATCTCACATAGAGCCGTACGAATGAATATGCCCGTCTTGCTCGAAACGAAAGCCATTACAAGCAGTGGACCATGCAATGACCCTTGAAATGACCCTTGAAATCAAGTCCCACACTTTTGTCCCTCCATATACTAAAGCAATCAATTCACTTACCAGCACCATCAGAGAGAGCTGGCTCTCTCTGATCAGCTGGTTGTGACTGGCGGTCGGAGCTCTCATCCTTGCTGGACCCTAGAGCTGGATCACTCTGGTCAGCTGGTTGTGACTGGCGTTCGGAGCTCTCATCAATGCTTGACCCTAGAGCTGGATCACTCTGGTCAGCTGGTTGTGACTGGAGGCCGGAGCTCTCATCCTTGCTGGACCCTAGCCCCATTTGTGACAATACCCTTCACCAGTGTTGTCACCACACGGATACCTGAAACACAGCAACACACAAACACAGCAACACACAAACACAGCAACACACAAACACAGCAACACACAAACACAGCAACACACAAACACAGCAACACACAAACACAGCAACACACAAACACAGCAACACACAAACACAGCAACACACAAACACAGCAACACACAAACACAGCAACACAGGAACACACAAACACAGCAACAAACAAACACAGCAACACACCAATACAGCAACACACAAACACAGGAACACACAAACACAGCAACACACAAACACAGCAATACACAAACACAGCAACACACAAACACAGCGACACACAAACACAGCAACACACAAACACAGCAACACACAAACACAGCAACAAACAAACACAGCAACACACAAACACAGCAACACACAAACACAGCAACACACAAACACAGCAGCACACAAACACAGCAACACACAAACACAGCAACACTGTCATAAACTACCATGTACAGACAAATCCACACATTGTCGACTACCAGCACCTGCAGACACTTTTACGCATTAAACGGTGATTTATGCTAATCGGATCTTACAAACACGTTATTCTGCCTGATAATCAGAAATCCTACGGACAGTGGGGAAATCCCTGCCTTAATCACTACATGTTTCATATTCATGTTGCAATGGGCCAGCAGAATTTATGTTCTCAGTTTTACACAAGGGAATTGTGCTCAATGCAAGCGAGGCAGAGCTTCATCACTGCTGCATGCCGAATATGGCCCGACTCAGTAAGGCCCACAACAAGAGAGTGTTGCACCCACCAACACCGGACAAGGACTGCAACTGCAGGATCAAGAACTCGTGTCCACTCAAAGGAAAGTGCCAGGCGGACAACGTCATCTACCAGGCCATGGTGTCGGACGACACTCGTAACGCCAAGGTCTATACCGGCATGTCTGCGCCGCCTTTCAAAGCTCGCAACTCCAACCATTTGACTACGCTCAGGCATGACCGCTATGAGAATTCCACCGAGCTGTCAAAGCATGTTTGGTCGATGAAGCGGGACAACTGACAGAACGTCATTGACTGGAAAATCCGCGACAGGGCCACCTCGTTCGATAACACGTCCAAGAGATGTGGCCTCTGCACTACCGAGAAGTATCACATCCTCGAGACCGACACCCGCACTAGGCTAAACAAGCGAAATGAGATTGTGTCAAAATGCAGGCACGAAAGCAAGTATGTCCTATCAAATTTTGTGCCCATCACATAAGGACAGTGATTATTCTATGGCCTTGGTAGCGCCTCTATATCTGTCACCTGGCATGGCACCACTCTGCGCTATCACCTTTCCCTAGGCACTCTGTGCAATGCATCATGAAAAATGGGCTGGTCACACCCCGCAATATCATCACCCTCATCTAGCACCTAGGCACTCTGTACAATGCATCGTGAAAAATGGACTTGTCACACCCGGGACCCAAAATAATGATAATTTTCACTTTCCATAGTGACGGAGTTCCTTCTGAGTATATAACCAGTGTATCATACTTTGTTTGATCATCCATCTGATGATCCGTTGCTTGAACGGTGAAACACTGTGTAATGGAATTTGATCTCTGACGGTTTTTCCGCTTGTGTGTTCTCAGTTTTATAAATGAGAGAGCAGGTATGGATACAGTACTGGTACTAATGACAGTCCAGAGGCCTCGCTATGTTTTGTTTTTAACTAGGGCTCTAACTAGATACTATATACGGTCAGAAAGTGGAACAACTAGGCACAACACTGACAGAGTACTGAGACCCTCGATGACCTGACACCTAGCTTCAACACATCTCCGTAGCGGTAACCAACAGCCTTCCAACTCGGAAGGTCCAAGGTTAATTTAAGAAAAGACCAAAGAGGGGAAGGCAAACGCAGCGAAAACGAGCACAAGCCACAGTCGCACGGCAACGAAGAATGTCGATTGTTTGTTTAACTTTCTGACTGTGCATTCCTTCCATACACTTTGCACGCATACACATCCTACCAAGTTGCTTTACGTTATGAACCTTGCGTTGAAAGCCCTATTTGAATATTTGACCAGCTTTCTTTACACACACACACACTCACACACACACACACACGCACACGCACACACACACACACACACACACACACACACACACACACACACACACACACACACACACACACACACACACACAGATACAGAGATACACAACGAGAGGGCTTGAATGAACAAGAGCAACTCAATATGCTGCGTTTCTACTTTCTCCGCGTCATTACAATTTTCGCTTTCTTAAAGTTTATTTTGTCCACTCGAAGTGAAGAAATCAGCTAGACGTTTGTGGCCTCCCGCTTCGCTGCACTTGCGGCTGGGGTCGACGTCTTCACCAGAATTTGAGGCAGACCCTTCAGTACTCAACAAAACGGTGAACAAGAAGCGAGTTCAAATTTAGGTCATGAAACTTCGTTTTCAAGCAATCGATGCCTCCAGGTGGCAGGCGATGACGGCAAACTAGCTTTTTTGAAGTACACCGTAACGACCACCAGCGAGATAGGGTAAGCAGTTCTGCACCTTCTTTCCTTGACAAGCGCTTCGCTGGTTTTGTTGGTGTTTTCAGGCATGCCACCTTCGCAGCAACATGCGCCACATGTAGCGCATTTCAGGAATTTGAGAACACTTTGTTCTTGCCATCGTCAACTTCAGCATGCCAAATTCAAGAGATATGCCAGGATTCGTATCCCTAAGCCTTTTTTTGAAAAAATATTCACGGTTCGAGTGGAAATGTGGGCCGGTATGAACTCCAGAAAAAATATACCTACTCGGATCTACGACCGTTCACCGAAAACGAGTTCACAGAACGACCATTCACAGAACGACGTTTCACCGAAAGGCGTTTCACAGAATGATAGGTCACAGCCAATACCGATTCATCGAAATATCAATCCCCCTAATGTTCATTCACAGGATTCTTTTTCGTCGAATCCCTGTTCACAGACTCATTTTTTCACCGAATGGACAGTTCACCGAAAATTACTTATAATTATTATTGGCCCAAAATACAAAAAAAGGTTTACATGGAACCAAATTTGCAATGCTTTTTAAAAGCGTATTTATCTATCCGTTTCAAAGTCTTCACCTTCCTTTGCACTGAAGCTCGTATTTTTCTGTCGCACCACCAGTAGTTAACTTCATCCCGTCCTCTCTTGTCAACGACGTGCGCATATCCTTTTAGTATCCAACGAAGACCTCCGCGCTTGGTCGTTTAGACGTAATCTGGTGGTCCAGTGTAAAGTAACTCCATATTTCAAGATGAAAGTAGCGAAACTCTGCTGTGATGTGATTTCAATCATGTCCCTGTATATACATGCGAATCCCTATTCCAGGGAGCGAGTGTGTCTTTTGGCGACTACATTGGGAGTGTGCGGAAACCTACACGTACACATTTACGATAGTAACAATACATGATACCAGAACTACCAGTCCTTTGTCAGGTCATTTAGCGTCTACAAAACGCTGGGATCACTGACATGTTTTCGGTGAAACTGTTACATGTATGTGGTAAAACTGCTATTCTTTAGAGGATTCGGATGCGACATAAATCGATGTCATCAGTGACATTTTTCGGCGAAACTGCTATGCGGCAGAACTGCTATTCTGTGAACCGACATTCGGCGAACATGCTGTCGATGAACCTGTTTTCTGTGAACCTGATTTTCGGCGAAGTGAACAGTCGCTAAATCTTACACTCTATGAAATGTCTTTCGGTGAAACATCGTTCTGTGAATGGTCGTTCTGTGAACCCGTTTTCGGTAAACCGTGTGGGATACCCTCTGGGGGGAAATAGTGCGAAACGCGAAGAATTTGTTTGGCGCGGAGGAGAGCTCCAAGATCACAACGGCTTTCGTAACAATTGCGAGGGAAGGGTCATACCAATGTTCGAACACAGAAAATAGTGATTCCGACAGCCTGACTAAGACAATCAAGTCACACACATTACAATGTGCGAAGCGACAATTGTAGTGACAAAACCTGCTCCCGATAATAAGATGTTTTAAGGGGGACGTGTCCCCCAGCCCCCTCTTTCTTTTCGCCTCCTTTCGGTCGTACAACATTTTTAGAAGCTGGTCGCGCCCCAGCAAAGTGATCTGTCAGGGATTAGGACTGCCTGAAAAGAGAACAAAATGCAAACCCCAACAGGACTGGAACCTGGGACTTTGCTTGTCATGAGCATAGCTCTAACTATCTAAGCTATGGCACTGAGCAGAACCTACAAAGCGCTGACAACTTTTTCACTAAACCTTCAGCTCAAAAAAAATTTCCTGATAATTTTTGGTTTTTCTGGTGAAAGATCACCGTTTCCGATTGGAAGAAGTCCCTTCTTTGGAATTTGACGAAATTATTCATCGACTAATTTTCTCTGCTTATAAAGCACATGGATTGAGAGTGAGTGGATATTGCAGCAGCCAAAAATACCTTCGCGTTTGAATTGCCGTTGCTGCGCTTCACTACGAACAATACAATACCATGCGGACAAATGTGAGCACACGACACGGAGTACTGTACATCAACAGAAGCCTTTTCCAATAAATCGTTACGGGTTAGGGCTGCTGTACTACTAAAACTCAGCGCACACCTTCAGTGAAATCTTGGGGACTGAATGGGAGATGCTTACCTGACTTCAAGCCAGGGAGAAGCACCTGCTCCCGATAACGGCCGGGTGGTTCCTGTCCGGCGTCCGCTATTCTGGTAACGTTGACACGGACGATTGGTAGTCCCACAAATCTAAACGCCACCTGCCGATGGGCAGGTAACGAACGAAAGCGCTTCACTTTCGCAACCAGATTGCGACGGAGCGTCACTCAAACTCCCAGAAAACAACAATATGAAGGGCCGCAAGCAGAACACGCATCCGCCCAGAACACCCACAGACGGCAACGAGCAAGAAAAAAATAGATTCCGCATTCACCTGAAGCACGGACGGTGCAGCAGTCCAAGATCCTCTCTACACGTTCGCTGCACGCTCCAGCGGCCAGAGCTCTGTGGCTTCATTCATCTGTCTGATCTGGCAGAAGATGTAGATCTAAGCGTAGATTATGTACATGACTGTAGAACATGACATCAGATTCTACTGCCTGCTCCACACTACAAAAGTACAGTGCTGCTCGTGTACATCCATATGTAGGTCTACATAATCATTGCGGGCCGACCTTTCTGCTGACAAGTGACATGATGCTCCCACAACAACAACGAAATGAAGCTGACTGTCTGTGTCGCCAGAGCAGAGCTCTAGAGGCGGACTAGCTGTTCAAGTGTCATCACATGCAACAGTGCTAGTGAGCGATGTCGCCTGTACTAAAGATTATGTAGACCCTACAATAATAATACTCAACATACCAGACATACAGGCCTGCTTGCTCACCCACGTACACGTCACGTGGTACACAGCCGGGATAGATCGTAGTAGCTACGTAGAAGCAAGGCAGGGCAGAGGAAATGAGATCGGGTTTTTTTACAGGCAGTAGCTACAGCCAAGGCAAAGGCAAAGGCGTAAAAAGGCTGGCGGCATCCACAGCAGCACTCTGCACAACACATCATCATCATGCATGTACTGTCGTGGACATGGAAATCCGGTCGCACGACTAGCGGCCCCAGGGCGCTGGCCATGCAGCTATGGCATGCATTACTACGCGCTGCTGCTGGTCGCATCAACAAGTTACATGTGCGCTGCATGCAACGACGACGTTCTGTACGCGCTGAGGGCGCCGGCCCTGGTCAATCGACTGGATGTCCATGTCCGCGACAGCTCGACAGTACATTGTAGTCATTCATCCTGAGCTGCTCGCGTTTTTTATTTTATTTCGGCCAGTCGGCTACATAATTGTCTTGGGGGTTAGACAATGGGAAGTAGCCATGTACGGGCCGGAGGCTCGCCTTTCGCCACCGGAAGAGGACCCACACCTTGATCTGGTGAGCTGCGTCGCGTTTTGATCATGCTGACTGAGGCTACTCCTTTTCACAGTTCGGCCTCCACTAAGGCCGCGGTCACACATGAAAAGTTTGCACCGCTTTTAAGGCTGCATTCACACCCGGTACAAAAATTCGCGTTTACATGACTATACAAGTCACTTGCAACGCCTGTGCATTCACACAGTCAAATGCAGTGCATGCCAAACACGTAAAAAGTGACCCTCGTGACCCATGGCGAAGAGCGGGAATTTTGATTTCTGCATGAGCTGAGCGCACTGGCACCGTGCGGCACTTGGCTCAATATTTCAAAAAAATATTTCTTGGTCCGCTAGTATGATCTCGGTGGAACGCCTCCACAACTGGTGTATTTCTCTGAGTGTGCTGGAGTTGTGAACCATAGCGGCCGTGTACATGTATATCATTTCCTGATCACCTCCGGATAGCTGCTTTGGGCACAGGTTCAGCTCATCTGAAATCCTCATCTCGGCAACAGCTCTTTTAATCATAGTTCCACTTTTTTCGCTGGTATTTTCCCCATAGTTCTATCAGCCGTAGCTCCACCTTGGCAAAAAAGACAACTCGAGGCATGGTACCGGACTCTCCAAAAAATAACAAAAACTCTGCGCACTCGACACACCAAACCACTCGTTTCGCCTTGCCTGAAAACTAAAAGCCGAAATCCCCTTTCAAAGCCGCCTTCAAAGCCGCTCCGGGATGGCTTTGAACGTTAGGCCTTGACGGATTATGCTAGCATAATTTTTCGCATAATTCCTACCAAAATCGAATAATCGCATAATTCGAGGCAAATTGCATACGAATCGCATAAAATTGGAATAATCCGCCTGTTCACATCAACGAGAGAGCTTGGAAGCTCAGGGCCCTGCGCTATGCTTTGTTGCCTAGCTCATCGTGCATGTTGTTAGAACTGATGGAAATGCTTTTTCCTTTGATTAGCTACATCATTGTATTGCAAAAACGTTTCAATGAGATACTGAAGTACAAGTAACGCCTTCTGCATAGCTATGGGACCGGCGCTGACTCTGCCGATCACGGGCGTTCTGGAGTCGACGGGATGTCTGTCCTGACGTTTCTTGGGACCGGCGCTGACTCTGCCGATCACGGGCGTTCTTCTTCTTATTATTATTATACTGACGGCAACTAACATCCATTCTGATTGCATTTACTCGTCTCCCTACTTCGTATTTTTTTCAGAAAATCTCCCCATACAGCAGGGAGTCGTTTACATAATATGACTCCCTGCTGTATGGGGAGATTTTATGATTGCATTCACTCGTCTCCCTACTTCGTATTTTTTTCCAGAAAATCTCCCCATACAGCTGGGAGTCGTTTACATAATATGACTCCCTGCTATAGTCCTACATGACTGTATATACGTTATAATTACTCAATCTGATACGTTATAATTATTATGCTATCAGCCTACATGCGATCCCCGGGCTGGTCGACAGGCGGACCAGCCAGCCTGCTACAGTCCATTCATTGGAAACTGGCACCCTAACTTTTTGGTGTCTCTCTCACATAGTTGTAGATATCTTGAAAACAACAGTACATCCTGCATTGTGTGACCCGTGCAATTACTCCTTGCCACATTTGAGGCCAGAAAAGTCCAAGAACAGGGAAATAGAAATTCAGCCAGGTTTTACAAAATTAGGACAGGTATGCCATGGCAAAATGTATGGAGAAGCGGATCCAAAACCCAGATTTTTGAGATTTAAAGTGGGTTTTTGATCCTCAATTCGGCCCAAATCCGACTTTCAAAAGCCAGCGGGCCAGTTTCCGATGAATGGACTGTAGTGGGTTCTCGGCCTCGCACACAAATCCACACAAAATGTTACTGCACTGAATGCATTCCCCCGATACACTTTACATATATACTCATTCTCTTGATGGTACCGTACTCTTGATGGTACGGGACAGGTAGGGGATAGCGCCAGGCATGTCGATGGCACAAACAAACAAACATATAGTAGCCAGCTGTCTTTGCTGGTACGACACAGTACGGTACAGATACGGGATAGCGCCAGGCGTGACACAAACAAACAAACAAACAAACAAACAAACAAACAAACACCAAATTAAAGCTGTGTGGACCCTGGCTAGCGCCAGACGTTACTGAAGTAACGTCTTCTGCATAGCTACGGGAATTAATTCCATACAGTTGTACATGTTCTACAAGTACAAGTAGATGCACCAGGAGGTCGTAGGTTTACGACTCCCTTGATAACATATCCAGTCCACAATCAGTGATGGTCGTAGCTAGGTCGGACGGTGCGTTGACTCCGTTGAACCTTTTGCTGCTAAAGTACAAGTACAACGCTCTTTACAAAAAAATTCCCCTGTTATTTTGCACAAAACCATTATACATTAGCAGCATATGTGAGCATAATGCGGCATAATATGATTATCTTTTAGCATAAAAATAGCATAATTCTGCAATTTTTTCAGCAATGCGAAAAGCATAATTTCACGAAAATATTAGCATTATCTGTCAAGGCCTATTGAATGTTGATGTGATTTTTCACTTTTCGCGCATGTTTCCATGCCCACTTCAAAGAACATTATAGCAATAAAAACTGCTTCATGGCAGTTTTCAAAAAGAGGTTATTGTGTTCTAGTCCATGGACCCCGTCTAAAAAATAAGAAATTAACGAAATGTGATAGCCGAAAATTAAAATTTCACACAAAACCTCACAATAATCACACACAAGATGAAAAGCGAGAAGACCTTTTCCCCTCGTGGTCCTCTTTCCTATTCATGCATGTTGGCGCAGTACTCGTACAAGTCCCCCGTGAAGTGTCAGACCAAGATGGACTCTTGGTCGGACTAAACAAGTGTTGAAAGCAGTATTTTTTTAAACTAAGATCCTCAAGTGTTGTGATTATTGTGAGGTTAATGCGGCATAATATGATATCTTTTAG